TCATCTGGGGGTTGTTACGGTGTCCTCCCATTAGTTAGACGTCCCAATAGTTAGACAGCTTATAACAACACTTTAAACGGTTGGGTGCACACTAATCCTTATGCTTGTTACCTCAGACTTTAAAATGGAATAGTCCAGATAAGATCTGACAAACAAAGCAAAGCAGCTTTAAATAGACACTTTAATATTAAAGTCGCTCTTCCCTTCTTCCTCTTTAACCTCCATCAAAAAGAACTCACCGAATAAAATAAAAACTAAAAACTAAATCACCAATCACCCGAACCCAATAATGGAAGGACTAAATATTTTTCAGTGGAACGCCAACGGACTCACCTCCCACGGCCATGAACTAAAAACTAAATTTAAACTAAATAAAGGCCCTCACATGTATTTGCTTGTATACAGGAAACCAAATTCTCAAAAAAAATCCAAATTCACACTACCTAACTACAACTCAGTTAGAACTGACAGAGCTAAACCGAAAACAAGAAGATCCGCAGGAGGAAACGATCTATTCGAGGGCCTATAAACATAAAAACATGAAACCCGCCTCCCCAATCCTCCAGCTAAACAATCAAACAATAAAATTTCAAAAACAAACCAAATTCTTAGGACTTATTTTCGATGAACATCTCACCTGGGATTCTCACATCCAAAACCTAACAACTTTTCCGACTGATGCGTATTTCGCACACGGGCCCGGCCCGGCCATTTAATGTGAAAGGGTCGAAAATGGTGTGTGCAACCCAAGAGGGGGCTTTAGGGGTTGCTTATATAGAATTTGAGAATTTTGAGATTTGGAATAGATGCCGATGGGGTTGGGGAGTACAACTAAGGGAGCTGGGTATGGTGGATGTTTGTTTGTTTATGTGATTTTGATTTGGTAGATTATAGTGTTTTTAGATGCGTTTTATTAGTTCCGTATTTATTAAGAATACGCCTAAGGCCTTGAAGTTTTCTTGTTTATTTTGTGGGTTTAGCATTGTTTCTAGAGTGAGAGCCTTGTTTAGATTGAGGGTGGTTTGTAATGCGGTTTGATGTGTTAGGTAGTGTGTGCAGTGGATGAGTGCGTGTTCTGGGGTTTCTACTTCTTTGCAGTGTGGGCAGTTACCTGTAGTGTGTTTTTTATATTTTTTTAGGTTGTTATTTAGGTTGGTGTGTCCTGTTTGGAGTTTAGTGATTACTCTGTCGATTTGTTTTTGATGGATGGAGAATTTTTGGTTTGGTTAGTGGTTTGCTGAGTACTTTTTTTATTTGACAATTTGAGTTTAGATATAGGTTATGTCATTTTTTGGTGATTTTTTGCTTGTTTACGCTTTTAATTTCTGATTTTGAGATGGGTAAGTTTAAGCTTATTTCTTGGATTTTGAGGGATAGTTTGGCTGCCTTATCGGCGTTTTCATTACCGTATATCCCTACGTGGGCGGGTATCCACAAGAAGGTTATTTGTTTGCCTGCCTTAGTTAGGACGTTGGAGCTTTTGAGTTTTTTATTTTTATTTTTTGGTATTTAATGATACGTACCCCAAGATCATTTATATTTGTTTGATGAGTAGATAATCTCAACTCAACTCAGTTTACATGTGCTGAGAGTAAGGTATTTTAGATTAATTAAACGAAATTGTAACATATATACTCCCTAAACTGTTAGTCCCCTATCCCTACTCAGTACTTTAATCTAATTAGGACTGATCCATTACACCTGTAGGTACAATCCCTCTTTGCCTAAGTAAAATTGTCTAACAATTGGGACGTCTAACTAATGGGACGTCTAACTAATGGGATATAACCGTTGTTACAGTCATCTGGAGGTTGCTACAGTGATCCGGAGGTTGTTACAGTCATCTGGGGGTTGTTACAGTGATCTGGAGGTTGTTACAGTGATCTTGAGGTTGTTAAAGTGATCTGGAGGTTGTTACAGTCATCTGGAGGTTGTAACAGTCATCTGGGGGTTGTTACAGTCATCTGGGGATTGTTACAGTCATCTGGGGGTTGTTACAGTCATCTGGGGATTGTTACAGTCATCTGGAGGTTGTTACAGTGATCGGGAGGTTGTTACAGTCATCTGGAGGTTGTTACAGTCATTTGGGGGTTGTTACAGTGATCTGGAGGTTGTTGCAGTGACCTGGAGGTTGTTGCAGTGATCTGGAGGTTGTTACAGTGACCTGGTGGTTGCTAGAGTCATCTGGAGGTTGTTACAGTGATCTGGGGGTTGTTACAGTGACCTGGAGGTTGTTTTAGGGATCTGGAGGTTGTTACAGTGACCTGGAGGTTGTTACAGTGACCTGGAGGTTGTTTTAGGGATCTGGAGGTTGTTACAGTGACATGGAGGCTGCTTCAGTCATCTGGAGGTTGTTACAGTCATCTGGGGGTTGTTACAGTCATCTGGGGGTTGTTACAGTCATCTGGAGGTTGTTACAGTCATCTGGGGGTTGTTTCAGTCATCTGGAGGTTGTTACAGTCATCTGGAGGTTGTTACAGTCATCTGGGGGTTGTTACAGTCATCTGGAGGTTGTTACAGTCATCTGGGGGTTGTTACAGTCATCTGGGGGTTGTTTCAGTCATCTGGGGGTTGTTACAGTCATCTGGAGGTTGTTACAGTCATCTGGGAGTTGTTACAGTCATCTGGGGGTTGTTACAGTCATCTGGAGGTTGTTTCAGTCATCTGGGGGTTGTTACAGTCATCTGGGGGTTGTTACAGTGACCTGGAGGTTGTTACAGTCATCTGGAGGTTGTTACAGTCATCTGGAGGTTGTTACAGTCATCTGGAGGTTGTTACAGTCATCTGGGGGTTGTTTCAGTCATCTGGGGGTTGTTACAGTGACCTGGAGGTTGTTGCAGTCATCTGGAGGTTGTTACAGTCATCTGGAGGTTGTTACAGGGTCGCTGCTGCTGAGGTTTGATATCGAGATAAACGGCTTGCAAGGTAACCTCCACCTCATCAATAATTGCGAGTATAAATGCTGTGGTGTGTTTTTTTAAATCAGATGGATGACTTCATTTGATATGTTTCACAAAATGTTCAGAAATAAGCAGACGTACCCAGCTTATATGTTGTTATTTATTGGTCACATCTCGGAAATATGCAAAAGCTTCCACAATTTTTTTTTACAGTTGGGTCTGACATTGCCTGACATTGCCTGACCTTGCCTGACCTTGGTTGACATTGCCTGACCTTGCCTGACCTTGATTGACTATGGGGCCTGAGAACACATGGGGTGGGCAAATTTCAACTTTGGTCAAATATACGGTACATATTGCCAGTGACAGTTGCTCAAAAAGGAACAGATCCTGTTCAGATTAATTGTCCCACTCAATTGAATGACGGATACTGTTACTGACGTGAGTCTCTGTTCCCTGTAGGGGCGGTGGGGTAGTCCAGTGGATCGTTCGCTCGTCACGCCAAAGACCCGGGTTCGATTGCCCACATGGGTACAATGTGTGAAGCTCATTTCTGGTGTCCCCGGCCGTGATATTGCTGGAATATTGCTACAAGCGGTGTAAAACCCTACCCATTCACTCACTCACTCGCTGTTCCTTGGAGGCCTGAATTGGTACGAGAGGGGAAGGTGTTGTCAGGCTTGGGTATCAGGATGAACGGTTAACTACTCTAGCTGTAACTTCCTTCGATGACATCGTTTAATCATCATCATCATCATCATCTTCATCATCATTATCATCATCATCATCATCATCTTCATCTTCATCATCATTATCATCATCATCATCTTTTTTTATCTTCATCATCATCATCTTCATCATCCTCTTCATCTTCATCATCTTTTGAATAGGCCCCTTTACAGCCTTAGACATATCCAGGCCAACAAACCTGATCTTGTCCTTTTTGATAAATCCAATGAAATCATTTGTATCATTGAATTTTCTGTCCCCTTTTACACTAATGTGATTGACAAGATTGAGGAAAAACATGGCAAATATGCGGACCTCACTTTCGAAATGTCACGCTTGCATCCCAAGTACCAAGTTGTCCGACTCCCCATTGTTCTCGGTGCCTTAGGTTTGGTACCTTCCAATCTTTTGACTGACATTGGGAGAGTACCCGGGTTTGCTACCAGGAATACAGCCCTTCTGACAATCTGGGTAATGCAGAAGGCTGCAGTGTTGGGGAGTCTTCACATTCTCAGAAAAGTTCTGGGTGGGTTTGACTAGGCAGCACTTCCTGGGAGAAGTCCCATTCGCTGTCTGGGCTGCGTGTAGAGGGGGCAAGGGCCTTGAGCTGATGATGAGCCTAACCAGCATGACTGCCAGGATCACCCAAACACTCTTTGCTGCATTTTTTAATTTAATCTGTAACTAATAATAATAATAATAATAATACAGCGCATTAGGATGAGGTGCATTTCCTGTCTCATGACCTGTTACCCACACTCCAGTAGCCTGATGAGAGTTTGCAGCAATTTGATTCGTGGAGCCTGGTTTTGGATCAGTCAACGATGTACTCTTGTCGTTGACCTGGGACGCCCTGTTCTGGGTCGGTCGTCAACATGTTTGGGTTAGTTGGTACCTGCAAAACTCTGGTTTGGTTTTCTGTCTTACAGGCATAAGCGTTTTTGCATGGGATGTTTGTCACCAACACCTATCTTTGTTCTCATACCATGTATCAACATATATATTTCATGATTCCCTACTTTCAAAAGTATATAATCGCCCCCTTACACCCCGCGTGACGGCGGCGGGACACAACAGTCTTACTGCCAGCATGAGGACCTTTATTATCTTTTTGTACAACAGACTGTCAGGACTAGGTGGCTGACCTAACGGGTCGTCGTATGTGCAGGCTTAGTGGACATTACTTGGGCAGAGCTTCTGATATTAGTTCTATCATGATCATCACATGGTCAATTTTCAGATGTTTGTCAATATTTGTACATGAAACTCCTTAACACAGTTATAAAACAGACAGATCTTTTCAAGCAGTTTACTTTAATACACATAGCATTTTGCCTTATCTCTCTACTTATCGCATCCTAGTGACGCCAGTCGGTGAACTGCAGAGTTGACCTTATCTAGCTCTCTATCGCGGGCTGGCTACAGCAGTGGGCCAGACTGGATCAGACGGAACATTGAACATGCACAGGTTAGCTGTTCCCGTAGGAGCTCTAGCGGTGATTCTGGGTATGTAATGACATATTACGCTGTGTGTGTTTTTTTTGTTTAACGCCGCACTCGGCAATATTCCAGCTATATGACGGTGGTCTGTAAGTTATCGAGTCTGGACCAGACAATCCAGTGATTGACATCATGAGCATCGATCCAGGCAGTTTGGATACGATGACATGCATTAACCAGGTCAGCGAGTCTGACCACCCGATCCCGTTTGTCGCCTCTTACAAGTAGAGCCTTTAACGACAAGCATGGGTTGCTGAAGACCTATTCTACCCCGGATCTTCACGGGTCGGTGTAGAGTGAGTGAGTGAGTTTGATAGTACCATGGAATTGGGATTCAAAACTCTGTGTCAGGTACACACCAATATGAACAGTCAAAATCAAAGTTGTTGCCATGGAAACAGATTTTTTTTCGTGAGCAGTATTTCCGTTATATACCCACGCTACTTATTACTGACACCTGTGAGAACACGCTAATATCTCGCCGTGTCAGCTTGTGTTGTGATGAAGGTCATTAGTGACGCTTGCTGTAGATGTGAAACTTTGGTTAAAGCCGAAAGAATGAGTATGGTGCTTACATCGGATCCTGGTACTCCTTAGGGACACAACTCTGCACAATGGACATCCCTGTATGGAATATATAGAGGACGGCACAGTTTACTATCGGGACACACACACACACACACACACACAGACACAGACACAGACACAGACACACACACACACACACACACACACACACACACACACGACACACACACACGCAGACACAGACACACGCGCAGACACACGCACACACACACACACACACACACACACACACACGCATAGACACACACAGACACATACACACACACGCACAGACACACACACACAGACACACAGACACACAAACGCAGACACAGACACACACGCGCAAACACACAGACACGCACACACACACACAGACAGACACGCGCGCGCGCACACGCACACACACACTGAGACGCAGACACAGATAACCAAGCAAACACAGATACACAAACACGCGCATGCGTTTTGTTGTCCTTCTATTCTTCTCTCAGTGTGTTTTGTTTTAAACTCCATTTGCAATCCTAAGGTGTTCCGTCACGTCCGCACCAAGAACTGCCCTTCTCTTGAAATGCACTCCTCATGCCCCAGCCACTGTGTCAGAACACGCCCCACCCACTGTGTCAGCACACACACCCCCCACTGTGTCAGCACACGCCCCCCCCCCCCCCCCCACTGTGTCAGCACACACCCCACCCACTGTGTCAGCACACGCCCCCCCCACTGTGTCAGCACACACACCCCCCACTGTGTCAGCACACGCCCCACCCACTGTGTCAGCACACACCCCACCCACTGTGTCAGCACACACCCCCCACTGTGTCAGCACACGCCCCAGACACTGTGTCAGCACACACACCCCCCACTGTGTCAGCACACGCCCCAGACACTGTGTCAGCACACGCCCCACCCACTGTGTCAGCACACGCCCCACCACTGTGTCAGCACACGCCCCACCCACTGTGTCAGCACACGCCCCACCCACTGTGTCAGCACACGCCCCACCCACTGTGTCAGCACACGCCCCACCCACTGTGTCAGCACACGCCCCACCACTGTGTCAGCACACGCCCCACCCACTGTGTCAGCACACGCCCCACCCACTGTGTCAGCACACGCCCCACCCACTGTGTCAGCACACGCCCCACCCACTGTGTCAGCACACGCCCCACCCACTGTGTCAGCACACGCCCCACCCACTGTGTCAGCACACGCCCCACCCACTGTGTCAGCACACGCCCCACCCACTGTGTCAGCACACGCCCCACCCACTGTGTCAGCACACGCCCCACCCACTGTGTCAGCACACGCCCCACCCACTGTGTCAGCACACGCCCCACCCACTGTGTCAGCACACGCCCCACCCACTGTGTCAGCACACGCCCCACCCACTGTGTCAGCACACGCCCCACCCACTGTGTCAGCACACGCCCCACCCACTGTGTCAGCACACGCCCCACCCACTGTGTCAGCACACGCCCCACCCACTGTGTCAGCACACGCCCCACCCACTGTGTCAGCACACGCCCCCCCCCCCCACTGTGTCAGCACACGCCCCACACACTGTGTCAGCACACGCCCCACACACTGTGTCAGCACACGCCCCACCCACTGTGTCAACACACGCCCCACACACTGTGTCAGCACACGCCCCACACACTGTGTCAGCACACGCCCCACCCACTGTGTCAGCACACGCCCCACACACTGTGTCAGCACACGCCCCACACACTGTGTCAGCACACGCCCCACACACTGTGTCAGCACACGCCCCAGACACTGTGTCAGCACACGCCCCACCCACTGTGTCAGCACACGCCCCACCCACTGTGTCAGCACACGCCCCACCCACTGTGTCAGCACACGCCCCACACACTGTGTCAGCACACGCCCCCCCACTGTGTCAGCACACGCCCCCCCCCCCCCCCCCCCCCACTGTGTCAGCACACGCCCCCCCCCCCCCCCCACTGTGTCAGCACACGCCCCACCCACTGTGTCAGCACACGCCCCACCCACTGTGTCAGCACACGCCCCACCCACTGTGTCAGCACACACCCCACACACTGTGTCAGCACACACCCCACCCACTGTGTCAGCACACGCCCCACACACTGTGTCAGCACACGCCCCACCCACTGTGTCAGCACACGCCCCAGACACTGTGTCAGCACACGCCCCACCACTGTGTCAGCACACACCCCACCCACTGTGTCAGCACACGCCCCACCCACTGTGTCAGCACACGCCCCACCCACTGTGTCAGCACACGCCCCACCCACTGTGTCAGCACACACCCCACCCACTGTGTCAGCACACACCCCACACACTGTGTCAGCACACACCCCACCCACTGTGTCAGCACACGCCCCACACACTGTGTCAGCACACGCCCCACCCACTGTGTCAGCACACGCCCCAGACACTGTGTCAGCACACGCCCCACCACTGTGTCAGCACACACCCCACCCACTGTGTCAGCACACGCCCCACCCACTGTGTCAGCACACGCCCCACCCACTGTGTCAGCACACGCCCCACCCACTGTGTCAGCACACGCCCCACACACTGTGTCAGCACACACCCCACCCACTGTGTCAGCACACGCCCCCCCCCCCCACTGTGTCAGCACACGCCCCACACACTGTGTCAGCACACGCCCCACCCACTGTGTCAGCACACGCCCCACCCACTGTGTCAGCACACACCCCACCCACTGTGTCAGCACACGCCCCACACACTGTGTCAGCACACACCCCACCCACTGTGTCAGCACACGCCCCAGACACTGTGTCAGCACACGCCCCACCCACTGTGTCAGCATTCGCCCCAGACACTGTGTCAGCATTCGCCCCACACACTGTGTCAGCACACTGTACGTTTCTACAGGATAAAACCGTGTGAACGGCACATGGCAGAGGAGTGTTTTGTAAATCCGTGTGAAGAAGATACTTGTATCAGGCCAGAGTACAGTAACCTACTTGATTGTGTCTGAGTTTTCTGTGACCATATTTGGGAACATTATTTGACCTAAGAAATGAACATCTGAAACTGCTTTTGTTGACATAAAAAATGCTCTAGTTGATATTGCCAGACAATGTGAAACAGATCCATTTGGATATTGGAGAATGTGAAACAGCTCTAGCTGATATTGCCAACGACAAACATGCAAACAAAACATGTCATTATTTCACATTTCATGACTAGTTGAGTTCAAAGTAATGTTGTACACCCTGTGTGTTACAGGGTACATGGGGGGAGTTCTACTGACGTGTACATCCCGTGTGTTACAGGGTACGTGGGGGGAGTTCTTCTGACGCGTACACCCCGTGTGTGGGAGGGTGTGTGGGGGGAGTTCTACTGACGTGTACACCCTGTGTGTTGGAGGGTGTGTGGGAGGAGTTCTACTGACGTGTACACCCCGTGTGTTGGAGGGTGTGTGGGAGGAGTTCTACTGACGTGTACACCCCGTGTGTGGGAGGGTGTGTGGGAGGAGTTCTACTGACGTGTACACCCTGTGTGTTACAGGGTACATGGGGGGAGTTCTACTGACGTGTACACCCCGTGTGTGGGAGGGTGTGTGGGAGGAGTTCTACTGACGTGTACACCCCGTGTGTGGGAGGGTGTGTGGGGGGAGCTCTACTGACGTGTACACCCCGTGTGTTACAGGGTGTGTGGGGGGAGTTCTACTGACGTGTACACCCCGTGTGTTGCAGGGTGTGTGGGGGGAGTTCTACTGACGTGTACACCCCGTGTGTTGGAGGGTGTGTGGGAGGAGTTCTACTGACGTGTACACCCCGTGTGTTGCAGGGTGTGTGGGGGGAGTTCTACTGACGTGTACACCCCGTGTGTTGCAGGGTGTGTGGGGGGAGTTCTACTGACGTGTACACCCTGTGTGTTGCAGGGTGTGTGGGGGGAGTTCTACTGACGTGTACACCCCGTGTGATGGAGGGTGTGTGGGAGGAGTTCTACTGACGTGTACACCCCGTGTGTGGGAGGGTGTGTGGGAGGAGTTCTACTGACGTGTACACCCCGTGTGTGGGAGGGTGTGTGGGAGGAGTTCTACTGACGTGTACACCCCGTGTGTGGGAGGGTGTGTTGGAGGAGTTCTACTGACGTGTACACCCTGTGTGTTACAGGGTACATGGGGGGAGTTCTACTGACGTGTACACCCCGTGTGTTACAGGGTACATGGGGGGAGTTCTACTGACGTGTACACCCCGTGTGTGGGAGGATGTGTGTGAGGAGTTCTACTGACGTGTACACCCCGTGTGTGGGAGGGTGTGTGTGAGAAGTTCCACTGACGTGTACACCCTGTGTGTTACAGGGTACATGGGGGGGGGGGGAGTTCTACTGACGTGTACACCCCGTGTGTTGGAGGGTGTGTGGGAGGAGTTCTACTGACGTGTACACCCCGTGTGTGGGAGGGTGTGTTGGAGGAGTTCTACTGACGTGTACACCCTGTGTGTTACAGGGTACATGGGGGGAGTTCTACTGACGTGTACACCCCGTGTGTTACAGGGTACATGGGGGGAGTTCTACTGACGTGTACACCCCGTGTGTGGGAGGGTGTGTTGGAGGAGTTCTACTGACGTGTACACCCCGTGTGTTGGAGGGTGTGTGGGGGGAGTTCTACTGACGTGTACACCCCGTGTGTGGGAGGGTGTGTGGGAGGAGTTCTACTGACGTGTACACCCCGTGTGTTGGAGGGTACGTGGGGGGAGTTCTACTGACGTGTACACCCCGTGTGTTGGAGGGTGTGTGGGGGGAGTTCTACTGACGCGTACACCCCGTGTGTTGGAGGGTGTGTGGGAGGAGCTCTACTGACGTGTACACCCCGTGTGTTACAGGGTACGTAGGGAGGAGTTCTACTGACGTGTACACCCCGTGTGTTACAGGGTACGTGGGGGGAGTTCTACTGACGTGTACACCCCGTGTGTTGCAGGGTGTGTGGGGGGAGTTCTACTGACGTGTACACCCCGTGTGTTGGAGGGTGTGTGGGAGGAGTTCTACTGACGTGTACACCCCGTGTGTTACAGGGTACGTGGGGGGAGTTCTACTGACGTGTACACCCCGTGTGTTGCAGGGTGTGTGGGGGGAGTTCTACTGACGTGTACACCCCGTGTGTTGGAGGGTGTGTGGGAGGAGTTCTACTGACGTGTACACCCCGTGTGTTACAGGGTACATGGGGGGAGTTCTACTGACGTGTACACCCCGTGTGTTGGAGGGTGTGTGGGAAGAGTTCTACTGACGCGTACACCCCGTGTGTTACAGGGTACGTGGGAGGAGTTCTTCTGACGCGTACACCCCGTGTGTTGGAGGGTGTGTGGGAGGAGTTCTACTGACGTGTACACCCCGTGTGTTGGAGGGTGTGTGGGGGGAGTTCTACTGACGTGTACACCCCGTGTGTTGGAGGGTGTGTGGGGGGAGTTCTACTGACGTGTTCACCCCGTGTGTTGCAGGGTGTGTGGGGGGAGTTCTACTGACGCGTACACCCCGTGTGTTGGAGGGTGTGTGGGAGGAGTTCTACTGACGTGTCGACCCCGTGTGTTACAGGGTACATGGGGGGAGTTCTACTGACGTGTACACCCGGTGTGTTGGAGGATGTGTGGGAGGAGTTCTACTGACGTGTACACTCCGTGTGTTACAGGGTACGTAGGGGGAGTTCTACTGACGTGTACACCCCGTGTGTTGGAGGGTGTGTGGGAGGAGTTCTACTGATGTGTACACCCCGTGTGTTACAGGGTACATGGGGGGAGTTCTACTGACGTGTACACCCCGTGTGTTGGAGGGTGTGTGGGAGGAGTTCTACTGACGTGTACACCCCGTGTGTTGGAGGGTGTGTGGGGGGAGTTCTACTGACGCGTACACCCCGTGTGTTGGAGGGTGTGTGGGGGGAGTTCTACTGACGCGTACATCCCGTGTGTTGGAGGGTGTGTGGGAGGAGTTCTACTGACGTGTACATCCCGTGTGTTGGAGGGTGTGTGGGAGGAGTTCTACTGACGTTTACACCCCGTGTGTTGGAGGGTGTGTGGGAGGAGTTCTACTGACGTGTACACCCCGTGTGTTACAGGTTGCTGGTACGTGGGGGGAGCTCTAATGACGTGTACGTCCTTCGACGACTGCTACGGCATGGTGTGCGGAAGGGAAATGTCCGTCATGTGCTCCGACTTTAATACCTGCGTTTGTAAAGGTAGGTCAATCAAACGTAGGTCAATCATTTGTAGGTCAACCGTATGTATGTCAGATACATACATGTCAATCACACGTATGTCAGCCACATACAGCACAATCACATGTATGTCAGCCACATACAGCACAATCACACGTATGTCAGCCACATACAGCACAATCACAAGTATGTCAGCCACATACAGCTCAAACACACACAGCTCAATCACACGTATGTCAGCCACATACAGCACAATCACACGTATGTCAGCCACATACAGCACAATCACACACAGCTCAATCACATGTATGTCAGCCACATACAGCTCAATCACAAGTATGTCAGCCACATACAGCACAATCACACACAGCTCAATCACATGTATGTCAGCCACATACAGCTCAAACACACACAGCACAATCACAAGTATGTCAGCCACATACAGCACAATCACAAGTATGTCAGCCACATACAGCTCAAACACACACAGCTCAATCACATGTATGTCAGCCACATACAGCACAATCACACACAGCTCAATCACACGTATGTCAGCCACATACAGCTCAATCACAAGTATGTCAGCCACATACAGCACAATCACACACAGCTCAATCACATGTATGTCAGCCACATACAGCTCAAACACACACAGCACAATCACACGTATGTCAGCCACATACAGCACAATCACAAGTATGTCAGCCACATACAGCGCAATCACAAGTATGTCAGCCACATACAGCACAATCACAAGTATGTCAGCCACATACAGCACAATCACACGTATGTCAGCCGAATACAGCTCAATCACATGTATGTCAGCCACATACAGCACAATCACATGTATGTCAGCCACATACAGCACAATCACACGTATGTCAGCCGAATACAGCACAATCACACGTATGTCAGCCACATACAGCACAATCACATGTATGTCAGCCACATACAGCACAATCACATGTATGTCAGCCACATACAGCACAATCACACGTATGTCAGCCACATACAGCTCAATCACAAGTATGTCAGCCACATACAGCACAATCACAAGTATGTCAGCCACATACAGCTCAATCACAAGTATGTCAGCCACATACAGCTCAATCACAAGTATGTCAGCCACATACAGCACAATCACAAGTATGTCAGCCACATACAGCACAATCACATGTATGTCAGCCACATACAGCTCAATCACAAGTATGTCAGCCACATACAGCACAATCACACGTATGTCAGCCACATACAGCACAATCACAAGTATGTCAGCCACATACAGCTCAATCACACGTATGTCAAACACATACAGCACAATCACACGTATGTCAGCCACATACAGCACAATCACAAGTATGTCAGCCACATACAGCACAATCACAAGTATGTCAGCCACATACAGCACAATCACACGTATGTCAGCCACATACAGCACAATCACAAGTATGTCAGCCACATACAGCACAATCACAAGTATGTCAGCCACATACAGCGCAATCACAAGTATGTCAGCCACATACAGCACAATCACAAGTATGTCAGCCACATACAGCACAATCACACGTATGTCAGCCGAATACAGCACAATCACACGTATGTCAGCCACATACAGCACAATCACAAGTATGTCAGCCACATACAGCGCAATCACAAGTATGTCAGCCACATACAGCACAATCACAAGTATGTCAGCCACATACAGCTCAATCACAAGTATGTCAGCCACATACAGCTCAATCACAAGTATGTCAGCCACATACAGCACAATCACAAGTATGTCAGCCACATACAGCACAATCACATGTATGTCAGCCACATACAGCACAATCACACGTATGTCAGCCACATACAGCACAATCACAAGTATGTCAGCCACATACAGCTCAAACACACACAGCTCAATCACACGTATGTCAGCCACATACAGCACAATCACACGTATGTCAGCCACATACAGCACAATCACACACAGCTCAATCACATGTATGTCAGCCACATACAGCTCAATCACAAGTATGTCAGCCACATACAGCACAATCACACACAGCTCAATCACATGTATGTCAGCCACATACAGCTCAAACACACACAGCACAATCACAAGTATGTCAGCCACATACAGCACAATCACAAGTATGTCAGCCACATACAGCTCAAACACACACAGCTCAATCACATGTATGTCAGCCACATACAGCACAATCACACACAGCTCAATCACACGTATGTCAGCCACATACAGCTCAATCACAAGTATGTCAGCCACATACAGCACAATCACACACAGCTCAATCACATGTATGTCAGCCACATACAGCTCAAACACACACAGCACAATCACACGTATGTCAGCCACATACAGCACAATCACAAGTATGTCAGCCACATACAGCGCAATCACAAGTATGTCAGCCACATACAGCACAATCACAAGTATGTCAGCCACATACAGCACAATCACACGTATGTCAGCCGAATACAGCTCAATCACATGTATGTCAGCCACATACAGCACAATCACATGTATGTCAGCCACATACAGCACAATCACACGTATGTCAGCCGAATACAGCACAATCACACGTATGTCAGCCACATACAGCACAATCACATGTATGTCAGCCACATACAGCACAATCACATGTATGTCAGCCACATACAGCACAATCACACGTATGTCAGCCACATACAGCTCAATCACAAGTATGTCAGCCACATACAGCACAATCACAAGTATGTCAGCCACATACAGCTCAATCACAAGTATGTCAGCCACATACAGCTCAATCACAAGTATGTCAGCCACATACAGCACAATCACAAGTATGTCAGCCACATACAGCACAATCACATGTATGTCAGCCACATACAGCTCAATCACAAGTATGTCAGCCACATACAGCACAATCACACGTATGTCAGCCACATACAGCACAATCACAAGTATGTCAGCCACATACAGCTCAATCACACGTATGTCAAACACATACAGCACAATCACACGTATGTCAGCCACATACAGCACAATCACAAGTATGTCAGCCACATACAGCACAATCACAAGTATGTCAGCCACATACAGCACAATCACATGTATGTCAGCCACATACAGCACAATCACAAGTATGTCAGCCACATACAGCACAATCACAAGTATGTCAGCCACATACAGCGCAATCACAAGTATGTCAGCCACATACAGCACAATCACAAGTATGTCAGCCACATACAGCACAATCACACGTATGTCAGCCGAATACAGCACAATCACACGTATGTCAGCCACATACAGCACAATCACAAGTATGTCAGCCACATACAGCGCAATCACAAGTATGTCAGCCACATACAGCACAATCACAAGTATGTCAGCCACATACAGCACAATCACACGTATGTCAGCCGAATACAGCACAATCACACGTATGTCAGCCACATACAGCACAATCACATGTATGTCAGCCACATACAGCACAATCACACGTATGTCAGCCACATACAGCACAATCACAAGTATGTCAGCCACATACAGCACAATCACAAGTATGTCAGCCACATACAGCTCAATCACACGTATGTCAGCCACATACAGCACAATCACACGTATGTCAGCCACATACAGCACAATCACAAGTATGTCAGCCACATACAGCACAATCACAAGTATGTCAGCCACATACAGCACAATCACAAGTATGTCAGCCACATACAGCACAATCACACGTATGTCAGCCACATAAAGCACAATCACAAGTATGTCAGCCACATACAGCACAATCACAAGTATGTCAGCCACATACAGCTCAATCACACGTATGTCAGCCACATACAGCACAATCACATGTATGTCAGCCACATACAGCACAATCACACGTATGTCAGCCACATACAGCACAATCACACGTATGTCAGCCACATACAGCACAATCACACGTATGTCAGCCACATACAGCTCAAACACACACAGCACAATCACACGTATGTCAGCCACATAAAGCACAATCACACGTATGTCAGCCACATACAGCACAATCACAAGTATGTCAGCCACATACAGCTCAATCACACGTATGTCAGCCACATACAGCACAATCACAAGTATGTCAGCCACATACAGCACAATCACAAGTATGTCAGCCACATACAGCACAATCACACGTATGTCAGCCACATACAGCACAATCACACGTATGTCAGCCACATACAGCACAATCACACGTATGTCAGCCACATACAGCTCAAACACACACAGCACAATCACACGTATGTCAGCCACATACAGCACAATCACAAGTATGTCAGCCACATACAGCACAATCACATGTCAGCCACATAAAGCACAATCACACGTATGTCAGCCACATACAGCACAATCACACGTATGTCAGCCACATACAGCACAATCACACGTATGTCAGCCACATACAGCACAATCACACGTATGTCAGCCACATACAGCACAATCACAAGTATGTCAGCCACATACAGCTCAAACACACACAGCACAATCACAAGTATGTCAGCCACATACAGCACAATCACAAGTATGTCAGCCACATACAGCACAATCACATGTCAGCCACATAAAGCACAATCACAAGTATGTCAGCCACATACAGCACAATCACACGTATGTCAGCCACATACAGCACAATCACACGTATGTCAGCCACATACAGCACAATCACACGTATGTCAGCCACATACAGCACAATCACAAGTATGTCAGCCACATACAGCACAATCACATGTATGTCAGCCACATACAGCACAATCACACGTATGTCAGCCACATACAGCACAATCACACGTATGTCAGCCACATACAGCACAATCACACGTATGTCAGCCACATACAGCACAATCACATGTATGTCAGCCACATACAGCACAATCACACGTATGTCAGCCACATACAGCACAATCACACGTATGTCAGCCACATACAGCTCAAACACAAGTATGTCAGCAGAATACAGCACAATCACACGTATGTCAGCCACATACAGCACAATCACACGTATGTCAGCCACATACAGCACAATCACACGTATGTCAGCCACATACAGCACAATCACACGTATGTCAGCCACATACAGCACAATCACACGTATGTCAGCCACATACAGCTCAATCACATGTATGTCAGCCACATACAGCACAATCACATGTATGTCAGCCACATACAGCTCAAACACACACAGCTCAATCACACGTATGTCAGCCGAATACAGCACAATCACATGTATGTCAGCCACATACAGCACAATCACAAGTATGTCAGCCACATACAGCACAATCACACGTATGTCAGCCACATACAGCACAATCACATGTATGTCAGCCACATACAGCACAATCACAAGTATGTCAGCCACATACAGCACAATCACAAGTATGTCAGCCACATACAGCACAATCACACGTATGTCAGCCACATACAGCACAATCACATGTATGTCAGCCACATACAGCACAATCACACGTATGTCAGCCACATACAGCACAATCACACGTATGTCAGCCACATACAGCACAATCACAAGTATGTCAGCCACATACAGCACAATCACACGTATGTCAGCCACATACAGCACAATCACAAGTATGTCAGCCACATACAGCACAATCACACGTATGTCAGCCACATACAGCACAATCACAAGTATGTCAGCCACATACAGCACAATCACAAGTATGTCAGCCACATACAGCACAATCACACGTATGTCAAACACATACAGCTCAATCACACGTATGTCAGCCACATACAGCACAATCACACGTATGTCAGCCACATACAGCTCAATCACACGTATGTCAGCCACATACAGCACAATCACACGTATGTCAGCCACATACAGCACAATCACAAGTATGTCAGCCACATACAGCACAATCACACGTATGTCAAACACATACAGCTCAAACACACACAGCTCAATCACAAGTATGTCAGCCACATACAGCTCAAACACACACAGCTCAATCACATGTATGTCAGCCACATACAGCTCAAACACACACAGCTCAATCACAAGTATGTCAGCCACATACAGCACAATCACACGTATGTCAGCCACATACAGCACAATCACACGTATGTCAAACACATACAGCACAATCACACGTATGTCAGCCACATACAGCACAATCACACGTATGTCAGCCACATACAGCACAATCACACGTATGTCAGCCACATACAGCACAATCACATGTATGTCAGCCACATACAGCACAATCACATGTATGTCAGCCACATACAGCACAATCACATGTATGTCAGCCACATACAGCTCAAACACACACAGCTCAATCACAAGTATGTCAGCCGAATACAGCACAATCACATGTATGTCAGCCACATACAGCACAATCACATGTATGTCAGCCGAATACAGCACAATCACACGTATGTCAGCCACATACAGCACAATCACATGTATGTCAGCCACATACAGCACAATCACACGTATGTCAGCCACATACAGCACAATCACACGTATGTCAGCCACATACAGCACAATCACAAGTATGTCAGCCACATACAGCACAATCACAAGTATGTCAGCCACATACAGCTCAATCACATGTATGTCAGCCACATACAGCACAATCACATGTATGTCAGCCACATACAGCACAATCACAAGTATGTCAGCCACATACAGCACAATCACACGTATGTCAGCCACATACAGCACAATCACAAGTATGTCAGCCACATACAGCTCAATCACACGTATGTCAGCCACATACAGCACAATCACATGTATGTCAGCCACATACAGCACAATCACAAGTATGTCAGCCACATACAGCACAATCACACGTATGTCAGCCACATACAGCACAATCACACGTATGTCAGCCACATACAGCACAATCACAAGTATGTCAGCCACATACAGCACAATCACAAGTATGTCAGCCACATACAGCTCAATCAAATGTATGTCAGCCGAATACAGCACAATCACACGTATGTCAGCCGAATACAGCACAATCACACGTATGTCAGCCACATAAAGCACAATCACACGTATGTCAGCCACATAAAGCACAATCACACGTATGTCAAACACATACAGCACAATCACACGTATGTCAGCCACATACAGCACAATCACACGTATGTCAGCCACATACAGCACAATCACAAGTATGTCAGCCACATACAGCACAATCACAAGTATGTCAAACACATACAGCACAATCACAAGTATGTCAGCCACATACAGCACAATCACAAGTATGTCAGCCACATACAGCTCAATCAAATGTATGTCAGCCGAATACAGCACAATCACACGTATGTCAGCCGAATACAGCACAATCACACGTATGTCAGCCACATAAAGCACAATCACACGTATGTCAGCCACATAAAGCACAATCACACGTATGTCAAACACATACAGCACAATCACACGTATGTCAGCCACATACAGCACAATCACACGTATGTCAAACACATACAGCACAATCACATGTATGTCAGCCACATACAGCACAATCACACGTATGTCAGCCACATACAGCACAATCACATGTATGTCAGCCACATACAGCTGAAACACACACAGCTCAATCACATGTGTGTCTGTTACATACAGGTCACTCATTTACAACTCAATCATCGCATTCAGCTCAATCACACGCATGTCATTCAGCTCAATCACACGTGAAGATCCTATCCTCCCACTGCTTACACCTCCCTCCTCACGCTACCCAGTGTGGAAAAGATACAATACAATTGGACTATTATTAAATGTGAACGTATAGTCACTTTTTACAGCAAGCATGGATTGCTGAAGACCTGTTCTACCCCGGATCTTCACGGGTGGAACATATAACAAACACTCAAGGAAGACTATGATACGTTGAGCACATGCTGGGGATTTCAGTCAGCCTAACGGTCTGTTTCATGTGTTCTAGTCAACCACACGTATGTTCCCGCCACATGTACGGCAGACCATGAGTGCCACAACCTCGACTGCTTCCCAGACCACCCACACAGGAAGTCCTGTGTAAACGGCACATGCGCCTGTAACAGTGAGTCCTTACAATCATAGTTCACACGTCTTGAGGTCACGGTTCCAGTATTTGTAGATATTTGTTGTTGTTGCTGTTGTTTTTGTTGTTTAACGCGACACTCGGCAAAGTTCCAGCTATATGACAGCGGTCTGTAAATAATCGAGTCTGGACCAGACAATCCAGTGATTGATATCATGAGCAATTGGGATCGATGACATGCATCAACCAAGTCAGCTAGCCGGACCACCCGATTGGTAATAATAGAAGTAGTAGTGGCAGTATCAGTAGCAGTAGCAGTAGCAGAAGCAGTCGAACCCAGCACGAGTGCAACACCCAAATTGGGCGGATCGATGCTCATGACATTAATCACTGGATTGTCTGGTCCAGACTCGATTATTTACAGACCGCCGTCATATAGCTGGAATATTGCTAAGTGCGGCGTTAAACAACAAACAAACAAACCAAATCGTATTTCTCACTGTTGAACCGTGAAGATGCGGGGTAGAATGGGTATTCAGCAACACATGCTTTGCCGTGAAAGGCAATTATACTTGTCGTAAGAGGCGACAAACGGGATCGGGTTGTCAGGCTCTCTGACTTGGTAGATGCATGTCATCGTGTCCCTATTGCATGCAATTACTGGTTTGTCTGGTCCAGACTCGATTATTTAAAGCCGCTGGAGTATTGCCGAGTGTGGCGGTAACCAACAAACAAGCAACCAAACAAACACTTTGTATTTCAGGCCATCTGCACCACCAACACCCAAACGTCCAAGGGGCGCTGTAGTCAGATGTACCTGCACGGATGGACATTAAATAAGCTTTATAAACGGCAAAGTGTTTTCATTCATGTTGACTGAACCCGTCGGTAGAACGAACTATGATTGTCTCCCTGTGAGGATTCGTGGTTAGAATAGGTCCCCCACTAACCTATGCTTGTCTCCCCGTGGGGATTCGGGGTTAGAATAGGTCCCCCACTAACCTATGCTTGTCTCCCCGTGGGGATTCGGGGTTAGAATAGGTCCCCCACTAACCTATGCTGGTCTCCCCGTGGGGATTCGGGGTAAGAATAGGTCCCCCACTAACCTATGCTTGTCTCCCTGTGAGGATTCCAGGTTAGAGGTCTCCTCGTAGGGATTCTTTGTTAGAATATATTTGTTTGTTTGTATGTTGTTTCACGCCGCACTCAGCAATTTGCCAGCTACATGACGACGGTCTGTAAATAATGGAGTTTGGACCACACAATCTGAATGCTGAAGACCCATTCTCTACCCACATCTTCACAGGTCTGGTTAGAATATATCCCTATCAAGGTATTCCGGATTGGAATAGATCCCAATCAACATATGCCTGACTCGCCATCTGGATGCTGGGTTATAATAGGTCCCCAGCAACCTATGTCAATATACTGAAATGTCCCGTCAAGGTGAGGTGGGTGAAATTGGGTGTAACGTTGCGGCCAAGATTATTGCACTGATATGGCAAACTTGCAATCTCCTGTGTGTGGCTGCTGGAATTGGTCCGGACCGATGCCGATCTATAGTGCTAGCACAGAATACAGACTCCGAGCCGATCAGTCGTTGTTTTAGCCCCTTAATGCCGAGCGCCAGACAGGGTAACAACAAGTACCATCTTTAAACGTCTTTTGGTATGACGCGGCCGGGGATCGAGCCACAGACCTTCCGCTCTCCTGGCAGACACTCTACCACTAGACCACGGAGGCGGTCTGTCACGTCAATGTTCTAGCATGTTCTGTTAATGTTCTAGCATGTCCCGCCAATGATCGAGCCTGGACCTTCCGCTCTCTAGGCAGACACTCTGCCACTAGACCACGGAGGCGGTCTGTCACGTCAATGTCCTAGCATGTTCCGTCACAGTCCAAGCAAGTCCCGTCAATGTCCAATCATGTTTTGTCAATGTCCTAGCACGTCCCATCAATGTCCAAGCATGTTTTGTCAATGTCCTAGAACGTTTTGTCAATGTCCTAGCATGTTCCGTCAATGTCCTAGCATGTCCGATCAATGTCCAAGCATGTTTTGTCAATGTCCTAGAATGTTTTGTCAATGTCCTAGCATGTTCCGTCAATGTCCAAGCATGTTTTGTCAATGTCCTAGCATGTCCCGTCAATGTCCTAGCATGTTCCGTCAATGTTATAGCATGCTCCGTCAATGTCTTAGCATGTTCTGTCAATGTCCTAGCATGTTCTGTCAAAGTCCTAGCATGTTCCGTCAATGTCCTAGCATGTTCCGTCAATGTCCTAGCATGTTCTGTCAATATTATAGCATGTTCTGTCAGTGTCCTAGCATGTTCAGTCAATGTCCTAGCATGTTCTGTCAATGTACTAGCATGTTCCGTCAATGTCCTAGCACGTCCAGTCAATGCCATAGCATGTTCCATCAATGTCCTAGCACGTCCAGTCCATGTCATAGCATGTTTTGTCAATGTCCTAGCATGTCCAGTCAATGTCCTACCATGTTCTGTCAATGTCCTGTCAACGTCCAAGCATGTTCTATCAATGTCCTAGCATGTTCTGTCAATATCCTTGCATGTTCTGTCAATGTCCTAGCATGTTCCATCAATGTTCTGTCAATTGCCTAGCATGTTCTGTCAATATCCTAGCATGTCCCGTCAATGTTCTAGCATGTTCCGTCAATGTCCTAGCATGTCCCGTCAATGTTCTAGCATGTTCCATCAATGTCCTAGCATGTTCCGTCAATGTCCTAGCATGTTCCCATGTTCCGTCAATGTCCTAGCATGTTCTGTCAATGTCCTAGCATGTTCCGTCAATGTCCTAGAATGTTCTGTCAATGTCCTAGCATGTTCTGTCAATGTCCTACCATGTGCTGTCAATGTCCTAGCATGTTCTGTCAATGTTCTAGCACGTCCCGCCAATGATTGAGCCTGGACCTTCCGCTCTCCAGGCAGACACTCTGCCACTAGACCACGGAGGCGGTCTGTCACGTCAATGTCCTAGCATGTTCCGTCACAGTCCAAGCAAGTCCCGTCAATGTCCAATCATGTTTTGTCAATGTCCTAGCACGTCCCATCAATGTCCAAGCATGTTTTGTCAATGTCCTAGAACGTTTTGTCAATGTCCTAGCATGTTCCGTCAATGTCCTAGCATGTCCGATCAATGTCCAAGCATGTTTTGTCAATGTCCTAGAATGTTTTGTCAATGTCCTAGCATGTCCCGTCAATGTCCTAGCATGTTCCGTCAATGTTATAGCATGCTCTGTCAATGTCTTAGCATGTTCTGTCAATGTCCTAGCATGTTCTGTCAAAGTCCTAGCATGTTCCGTCAATGTCCTAGCATGTTCCGTCAATGTCCTAGCATGTTCTGTCAATATTATAGCATGTTCTGTCAGTGTCCTAGCATGTTCAGTCAATGTCCTAGCATGTTCTGTCAATGTACTAGCATGTTCCGTCAATGTCCTAGCACGTCCAGTCAATGCCATAGCATGTTCCATCAATGTCCTAGCACGTCCAGTCCATGTCATAGCATGTTTTGTCAATGTCCTAGCATGTCCAGTCAATGTCCTACCATGTTCTGTCAATGTCCTGTCAATGTCCAAGCATGTTCTGTCAATGTTCTATCAATGTCCTAGCATGTTCTGTCAATATCCTTGCATGTTCTGTCAATGTCCTAGCATGTTCCATCAATGTTCTGTCAATTGCCTAGCATGTTCTGTCAATATCCTAGCATGTTCCGTCAATGTTCTAGCATGTTCCGTCAATGTCCTAGCATGTCCCATCAATGTTCTAGCATGTTCCATCAATGTCCTAGCATGTTCTGTCAATGTCCTAGCATGTTCCCATGTTCCGTCAATGTCCTAGCATGTTCTGTCAATGTCCTAGCATGTTCCGTCAATGTCCTAGAATGTTCTGTCAATGTCCTAGCATGTTCTGTCAATGTCCTACCATGTGCTGTCAATGTCCTAGCATGTTCTGTCAATGTTCTAGCACGTCCCGCCAATGATTGAGCCTGGACCTTCCGCTCTCCAGGCAGACACTCTGCCACTAGACCACGGAGGCGGTCTGTCCCGTCAATGTCCTCGCATGTTCTGTCAATGTCTTAGCATGTTGTCAATCTACTAGTATCTTCTCTGGTACTAGCGTTGACAATATGTTCGGTCTGTGTAGCGGTTGAATGCTGTGAGGGTTGAGATGTGTTTCCGCACTGGTTTAGTAACATGTTTCAAATTGCAATACAACAGGTCAATAAGATGCACAGACAGAACTTCAAAACCAAAACTAACTTTATTTTCATTACACAAATCATACACAACCTCAGTATTTCAGCAAACTCTGAAACATATGTTTGGAAGATTGTACTAAGACATTTTCAAGAGCAAGTGAGAGAACCCACACCTGGCAAAGATGAGAGACCGGACCACATGCTCTCTCAGACACCTATCTGGTCTACAATGACATGAGTACGGAGTTCTGGCGTCAAAGTAGACACAACTTATGGGTATTTCTGGATAACAGTATAAGGATCCATACCAAAACATCACAATTACAGTAAAACAAAGAAATTGTGTCTTTGTCATCTGTCAACTTCTAAAAAACGCCTATCAAAAAATTCGAGTTTGATAGTGTTTCTAACAAACATTTCACAACAAAAATCCAATCGTCCTAATTTGCTAGAAAGGTGCTAAAACAAAAGCAGAGCCATGACAACCTATTCAGGTTTGTAACCATACTGTGCCTCTTGCTTCCTGTCAATAGCAGTCACAAGTCCCTCTGGTAACATCACTTCATGGTGGGAAATGCTCAATGCTGCACAACTTAAAAACAAAGTCCTATGCTTATGACTTTCATAAAAACAAAGTTAAAAAAGCACTTCCAGGTTGTTGACATCACTTTCAGTTTGCGAAAACACATGTCTAATGCAAGACAACTTTAAAACGGAAACTTCCATGCCTATTACTATGCAAATACGAAAGTTATATGCAGTTCCAGTTGAACATCACTTGGAAAACATATGCACAATGAAGTCCAACCTTAAAAAAGCCCCATAACCCTGAAACTTAAATGGACTTTGGTTTAGTGAACAGAAACAAAACTTGTAACGATCATTGTTAAACAACAAAATATATGGCCCTATAGTGAGTGAGTGAGTGAGTGAGTGAGTGAGTGAGTTTGATTTCACACCGCTTTTAGCAATATTCCAACAATATCATGGCAGGGGACACCAGAAATGGGCTTCATACATTGTACCCATGTCAGGAATCGAACCCGGGTCATTGGCGCGACGAGAGAACGCGTTAACCACTAGGCTACCCGACAGCCCCGTTTGGTTTAATGAGTGAGTGAGTGAGTGAGTGAGTATGGTTTCACACCGCTTTTAGCTATATTCCAGTAATATGACGGCGGGGACACCAGAAATGTGCTTCACACATTGTACCCATGTCAGGAATCGAACCCCGGTCATTGGCGTGACGAGCGAACACTTTAACCACTAGGCTACCCGACAGCCCCGTTTGGTTTAATGACATATGCCCGTTGTTTGAGTATTTCTAGTTGAAAGCATGGTAGCTTGGTCTTACAAACACTTAGGGTTGGTCCACAAAAATACAGGACATTTCAACTGTTTATCCAGCACTTAAGCTTAGTGTGATGTCCCCTGGTGGATATCAACACAAAGTACAAGAGCTGCCTTCCCCAGGAGATATATCAGCGTAATGCTCTTCAGACCATTGTGATGTCATCAGTTACCATGACATCATCATTAAATGACATCACAAATCTCTGTTCCACTGAGGATTTATAGCTGTACTTTGTTTACAGCCAATGGTTATTACTGTTTACAGTGAGTGAGTGAGGTGGGTTTAACGCCCCTTTTAACAGCAGTTACATCGCGGCGTGTCAGCTTAATGTGGGAGGAAAGCCTGAAGTGATGCAGGTCTCAGACATTTACCACTTCAGTGAAGCCCATGAGCACGAGTATGGTGTTGACAAATCTAGAAACATTATCGGAGCGAACCGGGATTCGAAACCCACAATCATAGGTTTCTGGCGTGCCCAAGGGACGCAACTCTGCACAGCGAATCGTGGTGCCTTAGACGACTGGGCCACCCGTGCCCCCTATTACTGTTTACAAACTGATCTGGATGATAAATAGAACATCAACCTCGTATCTTTTGATATCACATATACCACTCAAAACAACTTAACAAAACACCTGACTGTCATGACAGATTAACTATAGTCATTACACCTGACTACTTTAGAATAGTATATATCACCACTCGCCAACAAAAGAGCTTTAAACTTTTATTGACTTGTGTTGATATATTTGATATCAAAACACTCAGGTCAGACTCTAAATATTAGCGGTGTAACAATTTGGCGATACAGTAGTGTATCGCGATACGAGGCCCACAATACAATGCAGCGATTAACAACCCTGTACCGCGATACATGATACATTTCATTACAAGCTATTTTGTTGTCAAAACATGTTAATGATAACAGAAACTAATCAACAACTAGCCTAACAATTCTGTAGTACTTCCTGGTTAGCTATCAATAGCATAACAGCATAACATTCACTGTGCCCTCTAGCCACTATGTTTCTGCAGTACAATATCCCATCTTCTATCTCTGAAACTTCGGAGCCTATGATTCAGGGTTGTGATTCACCTCCAAAAAGAAATACCAGCTTTATGAATTAAACAAGAATCATCAGAAGATGACACTCCTCCCGACCGCCACATATTCGAGAGAGAGAGTGAGTGAGTATGGTTTTACGCAGCTTTTAGCAATATTCCAGCAATATCACGGCTGGGGACACCAGAAATGGGCTTCACACATTGTACCCATGTCGGGAATCGAACCCGGGTCTTCGGCGTGTCGAGCGAACGCTTTAACCACTAGGCTACCCGACCGCCTGCCACATATTCGAAAGCACAAATCATCTGACTGTCACATTAAGTCCAACTTGATGAGAGTATTTCTCTCTAATCTGTCTGTCCGTATACGAGAGTAGTTATTGTGCTATCAAAACAATACCATGGAATTGGGATTCGGAACTCTGTATTTCTATGTCAGGTACACAGCAATATGAACAGTCAAAATCAAAGTTGTTGCCATGGAAACAGATTTTTTTTCGAAACACCCCCAAGTAGCAAAAGGCAAACTGGTCTTTGTGTGTGCAAAGTGTCATGAAAGAATACCTATCAGTTTTAAAGATATGGTCTGGACAAACACACCACTATGAGTCCAAGTCAAACTTGTTGCCATGGAAACAGGAATTTATTTTTTTTCTCTTAAATTCCGAAATAACAAAAAACACCACTTCAGCCCTTTAATACATGTACCAGGTTAGGATGAAAAGTCTTTCACAGTTTTCAAGTTGTGCTCCGGAAACAACACCTACCCCTACCTTTTGAGACTAAGTCCAAATTGTTTCCATGGAAATCAAGAAAAATAAAAATGCAAAAAATCCGCAAATAACAAAAGTCACCACATCAGGATATGTTTGATATATCTGCCAAGTTTGTTGAAAAATATAGAACGGTTTTTGAGTTACGCTCCAGAAACCAAAAACAAGTCGCGCAAAATTATCCGTGAAACAAGCAATCGTGTCCTTGTCCAACTTCTTTCCATAAATAATTTTTTTTTAAATTATAAAAATAGCAGAGGGCACCACTTCAGCATGTGACTGATACATCTTTCAAGTTTCGATCAAAAATACTGAATGGTTTTCGAATTCTGCCCCGGAAACGAACCCCAACCCAAATGGAGTCTATGTCCCAAAATTCTTTCCATAAATTTTTTAAAAAAATAAAGAATCGAAAAATCCCAAAATATCAAAAGGCACCACTTCAGTATGTCACTGATAGATTTGCCAAGTTTCGATCAAATACACTGAATGGTTTTCAAGTTCTGCCCCGGAAAAGGAAATGATTACGGACAGACAGACAGATTGGCTGATCGCTATATCCCTTGCATTATATGTCGGGGGGGGGGGGGGGGGGGGGGGGATAAAAAGTAATGTATCGGAATACGAATCATATCACACCCATAATATCAGGACATGTATTGTATTGCGACCAAACCGTATCGTTACACCTCTCATACACAAGTATTCAAATGACATAACCACTACATGCAATAGGCTCACAAAACATCTGAAGAAAAAGGCACTTCAGTGAAAATGGAAAACATAGTTTCAGAAGAAAAAAATTCAGCGTGACCTTGACCTTGACCTTACACTTAGTAATTGCTTCAAGAGCCAGCACATAAACTAAATATCAAGACCTTTGGTTGAATTCAAAGTTAGAAAACATACCTGTGCCACAGCACTGTAGCTCACCTGTATATGAAGTCAACAGTTTAACAAAACAGCCACTTAACAACAGTTGCTGTAAGCATTGTTATTCACGTATCTTCTTCGAGACCAAACATAGTAACAAATATGAACAAAGTAACGAAATTTCCACTATCTTTCAAAATTTGAAAGAATGTAATGCTCGTTTGTTAGTTAGAAGCAGATCTTGGCTGTAACAAGACATGTTTTCAAAAAAGCAAGAAAATTATCTGACAAAAGAACAGTTTCCTATGAAAAATATTTAAGATTTACTCTAGGTGCAGACCAACACACTGTCTTGTCTAGCAAGTTTGTAGGATGACTTCTCAAGCATAAAACAAATTGTTACTAAAACATATATATCAAGGATTGAACAATGATCAATGAAACCAGATACAAAGTCAGAGAATAAATAAACTACAACACATTCAACTATCTGTGATAAAACAAATACGGAGTAAAACTTTTAACATTGAAAAGAATCAATCAGTAACATAAGGCACTTGTGGTTATTGCATGTTATACAAAGGGCACCTGCTCCATCTGGGAGCAATAGACGTTAACACATACGCAATCCACATACCATCTTTCAACAAACAACATAATGGTAATACTTTTTGTTGGCAAGAAATGGCGAAAAAAACAATAAAACAAGTACATGACAAGAATGTAAACAGTTAAATAATACTAAACAATATCCAACTAAGACATGTCATCATAATAAACTCTTAATAACAAAGTCTCAACAAACTTATTGAGAACTAGCACTTATTTTTTGGGTGTTGTTTTCGGGCATCACTTCACTGTTAAACGTTATCAAACAATGACGTAGAAAACTTGAAGTCCGGATGTTGTTTCTGTGCGTGGACTTTGAGTGTCTTGAGAAAGTTGAAGGGCTTGTTGCAAGCTGGACACCGGAGAATGCTGGCGCCCCAGTGGCTGAACATGTGCGCCGTGGCAGACCGCCGCTCTCCCACCATCTTGAAGCATATTGGGCACTCATGTTTCCGGTCTCGCTTGATGAAGGCGAACCTTCCGTTACCGTCAAAGTGAGTGAACAGGTGCTCCTTGACATTGTGCTGGGTGAGTACCACGGACTGGCAGATGCTGCAGCGATGACCCTCACGCTCGAAGGCCGCGGTGTAGCGTGATGTGGTCTTCATCAGCTCCGAAACTCTCGCAAGGCTGAGGAACTCCCTAAGATGACTCCGCTGAACACCTTGAGTTGCCTCCCTTGTGAAGGCTGGACCAGTGTGTGCCGGTCGTGAGGCAGTACTACTGCCAGAGTGTCTAGAGTACTGCTGGGTAGGCGCCATGTTCTGCATAGGGCGCTGGGGGGGCAAAGCCCCCATGTGAGGTTGGGTGGGCAGAGCCTGAGTGTGAGACTTGTTGGGGGGAGCCTGAGTGCGAGACTTGTTGGGGGGAGCCTGAGTGCGAGACTTGTTGGGGGGAGCCTGAGTGTGAAGCTTAGAAGTAAAGGTGTTAAAAGACGGCAACCTCTGTAGTGGAGTAGAGGTTGACATGTCGCCAAAATCCGACTCTCCGCTGAAAGTCTGAATAAAACCAGAATCATTCAAATCAGGTTCAATGGGCAAGGATCTGTGATTCGCTCCCGCCTTCTTCACCATGCTGACAGCCTGAGAGGTGGACTCTGGCGGTGCCAATTGTGTGTAGGCAGCTCTGGCTGGGGGTCCGGACTGCGACCCGGTGCTCCAGCTCCACTCCGGGGACATGAACAGCCCAGAGTTGCCCTGCAGGGAGCCTTCAGGGCTCCTGTCTGTGCAGTTCGGGTCAGCAGTGTTGTCAGGAGGGTAGCGGTGTGTATTCGGCGTTGAGGTCGGAGGCTGGGATGTCATAGCAGGACCTCTTTGTCCCAGGGTTACTTTAGTATTCTGTTTGACTGGAGACTTTTTTTTGTACGTTCTGATGAACAGGTTGCCTGCGGGTTGTGTTGCTCGTTGTCCAGATATCTTCCCCTCCCTGGGTTTCATGTCAACTGGAATCTTTCTGTTTAAATGGGTGTGACCATGGAAGGTGGTTTTCCCACACTCTTCATTCATGATCTTGTTGACATGCACCAGCATGTGTATCTTGTACTCCTCGACTGTCTGGTAGAGGTTCACCTCGCTGCAGAACGGACACAGAATCTTACTGTGCGGTGCAAAGTGAACCGTGCTGAAGCTCTGCCCCACTGGAGTGCCATGGCGCAAGAGATGGTTCTTGAAGTTTTGCTTCCACACACACTCACCCTGACAGAGTGGGCATCGTAGTCTCTTCCTGTCCGGGTCATGTACCTGCATGTGACTTCTCAGGGCGTGATGGGACGGCAACACCCTTCTACACACACTGCAGGAGTGTCTGCTGGACTGCAGCCCAGGACGTGGCGCTGCCCTGTTGGTGCTGAATGCAGAGTGGCTTCTCCTGGGCTTCCATCCCATCTCCTGATACCCATCTCCTGCCTCTACTGGAGGTCCTGCATCGTCATGTGTCTTCAGATGCTGGACCAGGTCGGACATCGAGGCATACGTATCTCCACAGACATGACACATGCAGTAGTCCTGGGATTCTTCCGTCTCCGCTTCCGGATTCACTCGGGATTCTGGGGAGTCCATTTCTTCAAATACAAGTTGGTCCGTCGTGGACTCGGCAATATCAGAATCTGATCCACTGATGAGGCGAGGTCGGACGTTGGTCATCATGCCCCCATCGTTCCATCTCTCGCCATACCCCTTCCTGCTGCAGTAGGTCCGAGGCATTGCAGTGTTGCCATCCCTGTCAGCATCTGCCGAGGACGAAGCCTCCGGGTTGCTGCCATGTTGTGGATATCTTCCAGGGTGTTGGGTCTGACTGGTCTCCAGAGCAGCTAGATCATCATCAACATGTTTGTTTATCAAATGCTCTCGGAGGTCATTTTCACAAGGGTAGAAAGCAAAGCAGATTGTGCAGTAGAACAGATCATCCTTCTTCTCACAGTAGCCAAGTTTCCTCAAGTGTTCCTTAGCATGAACGATGAAGTGTTGCTTGGTGGTAAATGCTTTCCCACAGATGTAGCACTGGATGTTCAACTTGGTGACCGTTGCCTTCAACTGAGGGCCACAGCTGCTCCTCCGGGAACTCCCACTCTTGAAACCAGAGCGCCCCATCTTCGACCTCAGTTCATCACTCAACACAGTTTCAGGATGGTCTCTTCGATCTGACACCGTTGAACAGCTCCGTTTGGGTGAACCGCGCAACCTCCTATCAGATGTTCTGGTGTCCTGCCTTCCTTCGCCCGATTCTGATTTGTCCCCTTCAACATCCGTGGAACATTTATTCAAGTTCCTATCCGATCTCCGTCTCTTCTGATTCTCAGCAACATCAGCTTCTTGGCTATTTGACTCTGCCTGTACATGTTTCTTTGAGCGTTTGTGGTTGGCCAGAGCAATCCTGGTGACGTATGTAACATCACACAGATCACAGTGGAAGTCCTTGTTTCGCTTCCTCCGCCTCCCTCGGCGATTGCACTGAAGGTCACTGCCAAGACGGTCCTGAAGGTCACTGACCACCACTGTGGGGTTGATGGCAGTGGAATCCAGACCATTCTTCACACATGCCTCTATATCAGACATTCCTGGCTTGTCAGTCTCACAGACACACTCACTTTTCTCATGCAGTTCTGTGTTGGGAGCATCCTCCAAGCCAATGATGAGGTTGTTTGAAAGGCTGGTGTCAAGCATGCTCTCAGAATTAACCTGGCCTGGTGGTTGGTCTGAAGGATTGTCATTTAGATCAGGAAAGAAATTTGACAGATCGTTTAAGGTTGCCATGTCGTCGAAATCCTCCATGCCCTCCATGCTGTGGTCGTGCGTACTGTGAGCCGGGATCTTTAAGTTAATAGTGCTGGCATCGCTGTGTTCTGCATCAGGACGTGAACATCCTGAATATGCTTCCCAGTCTTTGTCTGAAGTTTGCTCCTCTCTGTGAGACTTGTTCATGTACTCTTTTCTTTCAGTTTGTGATGTCTTACCACAAGCTGACATCTCTAACACATTCTTAGTAACAGGTGGAGCACTTACAGTATAGTTGGACATATTTCTCACATTTGTTTCTGAATCCGCCTTCTGTCCTGGGTCCTCTAGAACACGGATCTTGCTTTGTGGATGCAGTGAGGTGTTGTCAGAATCAGACTGACCTTCCTCAAGGTCGTCATCATCATCATCATCATCATCTGGAGCAGCAGCAGCAGCAGTAGCAGCATGATCTCTGTACCGGTCCTCATTGCCCATGGCCTTGGTGGTGACACAGCAACGATAGTTGGAGCAGCTCAGCTTGTGTCCGAGTACAGATCCGGACAGTTCCTGCTTGAGACAGGACCTCTGACCAGGTTCCCCTGGTAAGTGGCAGTGACAAGGGTTATCCTGCAGTACACAGTGCTGACTTGGGGGGAGGGCAAGCTGACCTGGGGGCAGGGCAAGCGTGGAGTCCTGCATGGTGTCCACGTGGAGGACCAGCTGTGGGTTGACGAGTCTGGTTGAGCTGTATCTGGGGAAGGTCAGGCCAGGCTGGGGCGGGAAGGTGGAGCAACAAGATGTGTGATGGTGGCAAGGGCAGGTCTGACACGGAGGTCGGACAGCAGCATGGCGGGGACACCCTGAGCAGCTGTACATATGGCGTGGATTGCACACAGTCACACAGTCCTCAGCCGGGACACAGTGGCAGGGTTCACCTTCCGAAATTTCTCTAGCTCCTCCTACATTGGGCAGCGATGCACACCGTGAAGCTGTCCAATCATATGCCGTCTCCTTGACTGGCTCGATGGTCACTCCAATAGCCAGGTCATCAATGTACATGTTCTCGCCGGACTTGCAGTTGAAATGACGGCCTAGATGTTCCCGCAGTTTGAAGAGGAAGCTGAAGACCTTGTTGCATATTTTACATCTGTAGGTGGTCCTGTTCATCATGCTGTGGCCCCGGCGGTGCTTCCGCAGCTGGTGGTGGTACTTGAACGCCCGCCCACACTCCTGGCACTTCAGACGGGCCATGTCTCGAAGTCTTAGGGGAAGAACTCCGAGACCAACTCTTTCACAAAGTTCAACTCTCAGATCAACTGTCAAATAGATGAACTCTCAGATCAACTGTCAAATGGATCAACTCTCAGATCAACTGTCAAATGGATCAACTCTTGGATAAAGAGTTACATGGACCAACTCTCAGATCAGCTCTCACTGATCAACACACAGTCTAGCTGTTAACTCCTAATCTTGTGTCATCAACTCTTGGTTCAATTCTTACTCTCATGTGAGCCAATGTGTCACATTGGATCAACTCTCAGATCAATTCACATGGCGCAACATAGTGCCACAGGTCAACTCTTAGTATTGGGCGATCAACTCTCTCACTCTCAGGTGATCTAGTGTTTCACATTGGATTGACTCTTGGATCAAGTGTTTCACATTGGATTGACTCTTGGATCAAGTGTTTCACATTGGATTGACCCTTGGATCAAGTGTTTCTCATTGGATTGACTCTTGGATCAAGTGTTTCACATTGGATTGACTCTTGGATCAAGTGTTTCTCATTGGATTGATTCTTGGATCAAGTGTTTCACATTGGATTGACTCTTGGATCAAGTGTTTCACATTGGATTGACTCTTGGATCAACATTCTGTGCCACCACGTCTTCACATCTGAAAGTAACAGAGGTCATGTAATTGATTTTGATCTTGAAAAAATGTGCTATAGACTGTTGAGACAAAAAGAGATTGTCAGACACATTGATACATTGTTGCTTGATGTATTTAAAAAAAGAGATTGTCAGGCACATTAATACATTGTTGCTTGATGTATTTGAAAAAAAGAATGTCAGGCACAATGATACATTGTTGCTTTATGTATTCAAAAAAAGATTGTCAGGCACAATAATACATTTTTGCTTGATGTATTTAAAAAAAGGAGTTTGTGACTTTGCTTGTTGTAAGAGGCGACTAACGGGATCGGGTGGTCAGGCTGACTTGGTTGATGCATGTCAACTTATCCCAATTGCGTGGATCAAAGTGCATGATGTCAGTCACTGGATTGTCTGGTCAAGACTCGATTATTTACATACCGCCGTCATATAGCTGGAATATTGCTGAGTGCGGCGTAAAACAATCAAAACAAAACTAAACTACACTAAACATAATAATTTAGGCTCATAGTTTTAATATATGAAAACAATACCTAGTTTCGCAGCTGTAGCTTAAATATATCTAGTCTCCATGGTAACAACACATCCCTCATTACAGCTTCACACAAGTGAGTGAGTGAGTTTGGTTTTACGCCGCTTTTAGCAATATTCCAGCAATATCACGGCAGGGGGACACCAGAAATTGGCTTCACACATTGTACCCACCTCGGAAATCGAACCCGGGTTTTCATCATGACGAGCGAACAGCTTTACACAACAAACATCTAGTCTGGGATAACATATCACATGTTCAAACTGTTCTGAGATTCGTCAATTTGTTTTAAGAAATTGAACCAAAATGGCAACTCAATGCATTCTGGTATAATATATTCGCAAACTATGTAAATATCTCAAAAAAATTTTTAGCATTTAAAATATTGCAGTTCTCTGTTCATTGCCACAATTTATCAGGCCATAAAAAATCTGTAGCGCTGTTCACCCAGGTTGTGTGTTTATCTGCAAGATTCCCGCTATATCACAGCAGCCTGAAAATAATCAAGTCTGGACCAGACAAGTGGTTGATATTATGAGCAATGGTTAACGCCTTTGGGGAACGATGTTGAGTCACCAAGCCTTGACAAGACCCAGTTCATTCAGACACCTCTTACCACACAAAGCCTGACCATCTAACCCAATCAGACACCTTTCACCACACCACTCTGACCACCAAACCCAATCAGACACCTTTCACGACACCACCCTGACCATCTAACCCAATCAGACACCTTTCATGACACCACCCTGACCTCCAAACCCAGACACCTCTCACCACACCACCCTGACCTCCTAACCCAATCAGACACCTTTCACCACACCACTCTGACCACCAAACCCAATCAGACACCTTTCATGACACCACCCTGACCACCAAACCCAATCAGACACCTTTCACGACACCACCCTGACCACCAAACCCAATCAGACACCTTTCACGACACCACTCTGACCACCAAACCCAATCAGACACCTTTCACGACACCACCCTGACCACCAATCCCAATCAGACACCTTTCACCACACCACTCTGACCACCAAACCCAATCAGACACCTTTCATGACACCACTCTGACCACCAAACCCAATCAGACACCTTTCATGACACCACTCTGACCACCAAACCCAATCAGACACCTTTCACGACACCACCCTGACCACCAAACCCAATCAGACACCTTTCACCACACCACTCTGACCACCAAACCCAATCAGACACCTTTCATGACACCACTCTGACCACCAAACCCAATCAGACACCTTTCATGACACCACTCTGACCACCAAACCCAATCAGACACCTTTCACGACACCACTCTGACCTCCAAACCCAGACACCTTTCATGACACCAACCTGACCACTAAACCCAATCAGACACCTTTCACGACACCACTCTGACCACCAAACCCAATCAGACACCTTTCACGACACCACTCTGACCTCCAAACCCAGACACCTTTCACGACACCAACCTGACCACTAAACCCAATCAGACACCTTTCACGACACCACTCTGACCACCAAACCCAATCAGACACCTTTCACGACACCACTCTGACCACTAAACCCAATCAGACACCTTTCACGACACCACTCTGACCACCAAACCCAATCAGACACCTTTCACGACACCACTCTGACCACCAAACCCAATCAGACACCTTTCATGACACCACCCTGACCACCAAACCCAATCAGACACCTTTCACCACACCACTCTGACCACCAAACCCAATCAGAAACCTTTCAAGACACCACTTTGACCACCAAACCCAATCAGACACCTTTCAAGACACCACTCTGACCACCAAACCCAATCAGACACCTTTCATGACACCACTCTGACCACCAAACCCAATCAGACACCTTTCACCACACCACTCTGACCACCAAACCCAATAAGACACCTTTCATGACCCCACTCTGACCACCAAACCCAATCAGACACCTTTCACCACACCACTCTGACCACCAAACCCAATCAGACACCTTTCATGACACCACTCTGACCACCAAACCCAATCAGACACCTTTCACCACACCACTCTGACCACCAAACCCAATCAGACACCTTTCAAGACACCACTCTGACCACCAAACCCAATCAGACACCTTGCACGACACCACTCTGACCACCAAACCCAATCAGACACCTTTCATGACACCACCCTGACCACCAAACCCAATCAGACACCTTTCATGACACCACCCTGACCACCAAACCCAATCAGACACCTTTCACCACACCACTCTGACCACCAAACCCAATCAGAAACCTTTCAAGACACCACTTTGACCACCAAACCCAATCAGACACCTTTCAAGACACCACTCTGACCACCAAACCCAATCAGACACCTTTCATGACACCACTCTGACCACCAAACCCAATCAGACACCTTTCACCACACCACTCTGACCACCAAACCCAATCAGACACCTTTCAAGACACCACTCTGACCACCAAACCCAATCAGACACCTTGCACGACACCACTCTGACCACCAAACCCAATCAGACACCTTTCATGACACCACCCTGACCACCAAACCCAATCAGACACCTTTCATGACACCACTCTGACCACCAAACCCAATCAGACACCTTTCATGACACCACTCTGACCACCAAACCCAATCAGACACCTTTCACCACACCACTCTGACCACCAAACCCAATCAGACACCTTTCATGACACCACTCTGACCACCAAACCCAATCAGACACCTTTCATGACACCACTCTGACCACCAAACCCAATCAGACACCTTTCATGACACCACTCTGACCACCAAACCCAATCAGACACCTTTCACCACACCACTCTGACCACCAAACCCAATCAGACACCTTTCATGACACCACTCTGACCACCAAACCCAATCAGACACCTTTCACGACACCACCCTGACCACCAAACCCAATCAGACACCTTTCACCACACCACTCTGACCACCAAACCCAATCAGACACCTTTCATGACACCACTCTGACCACCAAACCCAATCAGACACCTTTCACGACACCACTCTGACCACCAAACCCAATCAGACACCTTTCATGACACCACTCTGACCACCAAACCCAATCAGACACCTTTCACCACACCACTCTGACCACCAAACCCAATCAGACACCTTTCACCACACCACTCTGACCACCAAACCCAATCAGACACCTTTCACCACACCACTCTGACCACCAAACCCAATCAGACACCTTTCATGACACCACTCTGACCACCAAACCCAATCAGACACCTTTCATGACACCACCCTGACCACCAAACCCAATCAGACACCTTTCAAGACACCCTCCAGACCACCAAACCCAATCAGACACCTCTTACCACACCACCCTGACCACACAATCCAATCAGACACCTCTTACAACATCAAGTCATACGACCAAACCCAATCAGACACTTCTTACAACACCACTCTGACCACCAAACCCAATCAGACACTTCTTACAAAACCACTCTGACCACCAAACCCAATCAGACACTTCTTACAACACCACTCTGACCACCAAATCCAATCAGACACCTGTCACGACACCAAGTAATACAACCAAACCCAATTAGACACCTGTCACGACACCACCCTGACCACCAAACCCAATCAGACACATCTTACAACACCACTCTGACCACCAAACCCAATTAGATACTTGTCATGACACCAAGTCATACGACCAAACCCAATTAGACACCTCTCAGGACACCACCCAATCGAACCAGACAATTGTTGCTGCGCCTTTTGCCAGCATAAGGGCTTTGTATTGTATACGACCAGCATAGGACTCTGGGAACCCACAAGGATTTAGATTGTACTGCAACTCCAAAGGTGTTCATTTACAAAGTTGTAAGACAGAAATTTAATCTGAATGGGAACTAAGGGTGAAACAATACACCGATATTCCGATGCATCGCGATACTTGACCCACGATACGATAAACGTGGGCCCATTTATCAATACGCCACGATACGGAATGTGAATCTCAAGTACAGTGTTTCCTTGCTATTGTGCTCTTCAATAAACTGCTAACTTGGTGCCGCATGGCTCCCAAAACATACTTACATTTTTAATAACTTCAGGTTTTAAAATGACAATCTCAAAAAACATTATCAGCTGATCACCGCAAGCACATTACACCGGAAATACCAGTCAACAAATCCGAATTGAAGTACGCAATTCAATACCATTATTATACCATCTGGTTATCAAAATGTGTTCATTGTATATCTCGACTTATCTGGATATATTTTATCAATTTTATTCAAAATTTCATTTAAGATTGTTTTCAATAATATAGGTGAAATCATGTGAAGAGATCGGTTGATCGTACAACTCGCCTTTATTTACAGCAACCACGGTCAGATTACCGCTATTGATGCCTTGAAACGAACTTTAGTTGCTAGAGAATGGATACATATATTATAAATGCCATTCTTTGTCTCATTA